AGGGAGCCGAGGCGAGCGAGTTGAGGGCTGCTTGGCGGAGTCCCATGGCGCCAGACACGGCTACCGTGAGGACGAGGATGCGTCCGGGTGCCACGCGATCCAAGTGCCACTGTAGGTCAGCATAGTGCGCCCAGTAGTGACCGAGCGGGAACACCTGTGGAAATTCGCTTTGTTAGCGTATGCTCGATTTGCTTCTTGCGCGAACGCCTTGCTCCTTAGTAACGACTATTGTCCCTGACTGCGAAGATGGATTTGCATTATGGAGCAGCACAAGTTATTGAGTGTCCGTTTCCGTTATGTCATTGAGTTTGTGCATTGGGAAAGGCTGGCTTGGAGAGCTAAGCAGACGCAGTTGATGAGTATAGCAGTGATTGGTTTGCGAGAGAAAAGCAAAGTGGGCTTACCTTGTGAAAGACGACAGCAGCATTCCTTTGGTTGAGGACAGTTAGAGTGAGTCCCTCCCCCTCCCTAGGGGCGTGTGGATGAGCGTCCTCGGGGGGCAGGAGGAGGTTGTAGCAGGCCTGTTGTTGAGTGTTGTTACAGCCGTCAACCTCCAATCCCCAGGCGTTGAAGCTTGACCATACTAGCACGCGAGTTCTTGATAAAATGTAAAGCACTTAATATGATCCAAGTTGTTTGCGTGTGGGAATTCATGTGGTGACTAAGACATTTTAAAAACTTACCTTATTGACTCATTTGCGCAAAGGAGGCTATTGAAGGAAACAGATATGGCAATTATCAGCATAGTAATTTTAAAAACACGTCTTTAAATCTCATGGTCGTAAGTTGTTTCACAAAAATATATTTTTGCCAGTTTAAAAAAGAGCTTGTTTCTTTACATGAAAACTATACACTACTGCACTTGGACGCTTGCTTGGCCAGAATACACACTGGCAACACACGAAGAGAGCGCGGGAAGCAGACGTGGTGACGGCGCTGGCTTTAGATTTGCTGGCGTTTTCCTGCTTCTTAGATTAGAACTGAGAAGAGCGGGACGGCCAAGTGAAAACAGTTGATAACTAGACACTGTTGGATTCAGTGTAATTTAGGACAGTGAAATGGTTGCGAGGTTAGAATATGTAGTCTTGGTAATTAACTATTTAATGCATAGTATGAACGATGTTTTGAGAGGGACATTCGGATTTTCTTGAGAGAATCTGGGGGTCGGAAGTGGAACGGGCCGTATCCAGAATCTTCCAATATTTCGTGAAGTATGAGGAAAGCATGAGGGACTCGAAAACTAGATCGGCTTTTGTGCCGTCGGTCAGCTCAACCACGCGCCCTAACTCACTCATTCACACACGCACGCACACAGTCGCTCTCTCTCTCTCACACACACACACGCACACACACGCACGCACGCACACGCACGCACGCACGCACACGCGCTTTCACTCACACTCAATCACTCACTCACACTACACACACACACCACACACACACACCACACACACACACACACACACACACACACACACACACACACACACACACACACACACACATATGCACACTCACACTCACTCCTCGCCCATACTCACGCACTCACTCACACTTACGCTCTTACTCACACGCACTCACTCACACCTACGCTCTTACTCACACGCACTCTCTCTCTCTCTCTTCTCTCTTCTCTCTCTCTCTCTCTCTCTCTCTCTCTCTCTCTCTCTCTCTCTCTCTCTCTCTCTCTCTCTCTCTCATGGAAATAATCACATAAACGCTCACACGCATACACAAGCACACACTCACTCACACAACACAAGCACACACTCACTCACACACGCAAGCACACACTCACTCACACACGCGCACACACACGCACACACACACGCGCACACACACACGCACACGCACACACACACGCGCACACACACTCGCGCACACACACACACACACACACACACACACAACACACACACACACACACACACACACACACACACACACAACACACACACACACATTCACTCACACGCACACACACACACACTTATTCACTCACACGCACACACACACTTATTCACTCACACGCACACGCACACACTTATTCACTCACACGCACACACACGCACTTATTCACTCACACGCACACACACACACTTATTCACTCACACGCACACACACACACTTATTCACTCACACGCACACACACACTTATTCACTCACACGCACAAAAACACACACACACGCAAACCAACACGCTCGCACGCACGCACACACATTGTATAATGTACTTCTTTTTTATTAACTGATTTTTATTATAATTGGATTTGTTTATTGCACGCTTATAATCCGATCCCTAATGACATCTATAATTGATAGTATTAATCAGACGGTCCTTAAGGTCAATTTTAAAAACGCATCAATCAGGGGTGACTGAAGCAAAAGTCGGTTTTGTATTTGTTTAGAAGGGGCAAATGAAAGAAAATGTCATAGTTCGTCGAATTTATTAGAAAATCAGGTCATGTCTTATTTGTGACTAGTCAGAACGTCAGTAGACTTATTTTGTAGCTAATATTTCACTTAAATATTCGGCAGTTATGTTAATGTTACGGATATGTTCTTTCGCAGTTTCTTTTTCAAGTGTGTACTTTGTCATCTGAGATAACTGTTGGTCACTTAAGAGGTCTACATTCCACAAGGCTTTGATTTTTGTGTATAGATGAGAATAATGTGAATAAGGAACACCGAGCAGGTAGAGTGTCGAATTGGGGGAGAATCGCACTGCACTGACGCCGCGATGGTGACCCTGGTCGGAGAGAGACCACAATCCAACACACATGGCTGCGTTGTGGTACTGGGAGATGTCGCTTTGCCCACTTGGGGTCCAATCTAGTCGATAGTAGAAGACGTAGGAGCGGGCGGTGGGCGGCGAAGGGAGGAAGCTTTCACGACAGGGGTTGCCCGTGAGCACCGTGGCATCCTTGATTTCCTGGGTGATATGCTGTTGCCAGGAAGGAAGTTTTAACGCAGCAACATCGTGAAGCACGATTGGAGCCTCGCGCTGAAGGGGCATTCTGATAACGGGCTCTTTGAGGTAAGGGACGGTGTTGGTACCCATTCCGAAGTGCCGCGTCCGACTCACCTCAGGGAACACGCATTCACGGTCTTTCCGTATATTTGTATACAGCCAAAAGTCATAGAAGAGTGTGTTAACTTCATCAATCCAGGATGCAAGTGCTTCTCTAACAAAGTCGAGAGAAACTGCATAACCCCACTCTACTTGAACGGATCCTCGAATTACCTGTGATTTGTCGAATGCACGTCCTTCAAATCCTGTTGCAGAGAAACCGTTGATGCAGTAGAGTGTGGGGTCCTCGCGGAGCAACCACAGAGTCTGGCTCATGTAGGAGAAGAAGTCTGGGGAGACCTCGACGTCCTCGTCCAGGAAAATGACTGCAGGGGCGTCGGGGAAGGTGCGAGCCACCAGTTGGAAGACGCTACGGTAGTAACGGAAGAGCTTGAGGTTGCCTTCCCCGTGAACAGGAACTTTGGTGAAGTTGACGTTGATGAGACGTAGCAGTTGCGTGGTAGGCTGTGGTGCGTCCCCAAGCACGACGAGGACGTTGTTACGTTGTGCCCCTGGGGCAGTGAGGAGGGCATTGAGGGTGTGGTAGAGGTACTGGTGCCGGGCCCCGGCTGTGACCACGACGGGCACATGGGCGAGGGCGGATTGGCGCGGGAGGGTAGGCGGCGGGGGCGGCGGCAGCGGGTCCGGAGTGTGCTCGTCGCAAAGTCCGCCCATGGCAGCGTGCAGGTGGCAGTAGTGCCAGCGTTGTTGTTGCAGCGTTTGATTGGAGGGAGTAGTGGGCGTGGGTAGATCGGAGAGAGGCAGAATAAGGTGAGCCTGGTGTTGAGCTAGTCCTTGAAGGATGACCGTCTCTGAAATGGTGCGGCCGCCCTTGACGAAGACCCATGTCCAGTGTGCCATGGGCGTGAGGTGCAAGGCGAAGAGGGAGCCGAGGCGAGCGAGTTGGAGGGCTGCTTGGCGGAGTCCCATGGCGCCAGACACGGCTACCGTGAGGACGAGGATGCGTCCGGGTGCCACGCGATCCAAGTGCCACTGTAGGTCAGCATAGTGCGCCCAGTAGTGACCGAGCGGAACACCTGTGGAAATTCGCTTTGTTAGCGTATGCTCGATTTGCTTCTTGCGCGAACGCCTTGCTCCTTAGTAACGACTATTGTCCCTGACTGCGAAGATGGATTTGCATTATGGAGCAGCACAAGTTATTGAGTGTCCGTTTCCGTTATGTCATTGAGTTTGTGCATTGGGAAAGGCTGGCTTGGAGAGCTAAGCAGACGCAGTTGATGAGTATAGCAGTGATTGGTTTGCGAGAGAAAAGCAAAGTGGGCTTACCTTGTGAAAGACGACAGCAGCATTCCTTTGGTTGAGGACAGTTAGAGTGAGTCCCTCCCCTCCCTAGGGGCGTGTGGATGAGCGTCCTCGGGGGCAGGAGCAGCTTGTATCTGACAAGGGTTGTAGCAGGCCTGTTGTTGAGTGTTGTTGCAGTCGTCAACCTCCAGTCCCCAGCCGCTGGAGCTTGACCATACCAATGTACTTGTGCTATCATGAAACAAAATATATAAATACAGTGTATCTGCAGCAGATACGTTAAGTAATTGTAAGGACGTGTTTGGTATGTGATACTAAATACTTAGAAGACACTGTACCCTTTTCGTCTGATCTTGTCCGTTTACATATGAAGGAATTATTGTTTGCACAACTTGCAGTAGTATTAATATTTTCAGTAATTTTACAGTTCCACTTTTAATTTCTGAAAAAAGTTGAAGAGTGCTGGTAGTATGTTCTGCAAGGATATCACCCATGCGTTCGATCACTTTCACTTCACATGTAGATATTTTAGAGCGCATTATTCTGCCTTGTTTTCTCCCCAGAAACTGGATGGGGGCTGTGGCCGCCGTTGCCACGTCCCAGGGAATAAAATCCTTTTTTTCCTTGTACCTTAATAGCTGTAGGATACTTTCCTGGTTCGTAAACGTCCATAGGATTGCTTCTTTGCTTCGCCATGTATCATTACATTCGCGGTCTTGCTCTTAAATTCACTATCACTCGCCAATCTCTTTCTCGCTCTCTCTCATTCCCTTTCCCATTCTCTCTCTCTCTCTCCCACTCTTTCTTTCCCTCCCCCCCCCCCTCTCTCTCTCATTCCCTCTCTCGCTCGCTCTCTTTCATTCCCTCTCTCGCTCGCTCTCTCATTCCCTCTCTCGTTCGCTCTCTATCATTCCCTCTCTCGTTCGCTCTCATTCCCTCTCTCGCTCGCTCTCTCTCATTCCTTCTCTCGCTCGCTCTCTCTCATTCCCTCTCTCGCTCGTTCTCTCTCATTCCCTCTCTCGCTCACTCTCTCTCATTCCTTCTCTCGTTCGCTCTCTCTCATTCCCTCTCTCGTTCGCTCTCTCTCATTCCCTCTCTCGTTCGCTCTCTCTCATTCCCTCTCTCGTTCGCTCTCTCTCATTCCCTCTCTCGCTCACTCTCTCATTCCTTCTCTCGTTCGCTCTCTCTCATTCCCTCTCTCGTTCGCTCTCTCTCATTCCCTCTCTCGTTCGCTCTCTCTCATTCCCTCTCTCGTTCGCTCTCTCTCATTCCCTCTCTCGCTCGCTCTCTCTCATTCCCTCTCTCGTTCGCTCTCTCTCATTCCCTCTCTCGTTCGCTCTCTCTCATTCCCTCTCTCTCATTCCTTCTCTCGTTCGCTCTCTCTCATTCCCTCTCTCGCTTGCTCTCTCTCATTCCCTCTCTCGCTCACTCTCTCATTCCCTCTCTCGTTCGCTCTCTCTCATTCCCTCTCTCGTTCGCTCGCTCTCTCGCTCTCTCTCATTCCCTCTCTCGCTCGCTCTCTCTCATTCCCTCTCTCGTTCCTCTCTCTCATTCCCTCTCTCGTTCGCTCTCTCTCATTCCCTCTCTCGCTTGCTCTCTCTCATTCCCTTTCTCGTTCGCTCTCTCTCATTCCCTCTCTCGCTCGCTCTCTCTCTCATTCCTTCTCTCGCTCACTCTCTTTCATTCCCTCTCTCGCTCGCTCTCTCTCATTCCCTCTCTCGCTCGCTCTCTCTCATTCCCTCTCTCGCTCGCTCTCTCCCATTCCCCTCTCGCTCGCTCTCTCTCTCATTCCTTCTCTCGCTCACTCTCTTTCATTCCCCTTCTCGCTCGCTCTCTCTCATTCCCTCTCTCGCTCGCTCTCTTTCATTCCCTCTCTCGCTAGCTCTCTCTCTCATTCCCTCTCTCGCTAGCTCTCTCTCATTCCCTCTCTCGCTAGCTCTCTTTCATTCCCTCTCTCGCTCGCTCTCTCTCATTCCCTCTCTCGCTCGCTCTCTCTTTCATTCCCTCTCTCGCTGCTCTCTCTCATTCCCTCTCTCGTCGCTCTCTCTCATTCCCTCTCTCGCTCGCTCTCTTTCATTCCCTCTCTCGCTAGCTCTCTCTCATTCCCTCTCTCGCTAGCTCTCTCTCATTCCCTCTCTCGCTCGCTCTCTTTCATTCCCTCTCTCGTTCGCTCTCTCGCTCGCCCTCTCTCATTCCCTCTCTCGCTCGCTCTCTCATTCCCTCTCTCGCTCGCTCTCTCTCTCATTCCTTCTCTCGCTCACTCTCTTTCATTCCCCTTCTCGCTCGCTCTCTTTCATTCCCTCTCTCGCTCGCTCTCTCTCATTCCTTCTCTCGCTCACTCTTTCATTCCCCTTCTCGCTCGCTCTCTCTCATTCCCTCTCTCGCTCGCTCTCTTTCATTCCCTCTCTCGCTAGCTCTCTCTCATTCCCTCTCTCGCTCGCTCTCTCTCCCTCTCCCGCTCATTCCCTCTCTGCTCGCTCTCTCTCATTCCCTCTCTCTCGCTCTCTCTCTCTCATTCCTCTCTCGCTCGCTCTCTCTCATTCCCTCTCTCGCTCACTCTCTTCATTCCCTCTCTCGCTCGCTCTCTCTCATTCCCTCTCTCGCTCGCTCTCTCTCATTCCCTCTCTCGCTTGCTCTCTCTCATTCCCTTCTCGCTCGCTCTCTCTCATTCCCTCTCGCTCGCTCTCTCTCATTCCCTCTCTCAGCTCTCTCTCATTCTCTCTCTCTCTCTCATTCCCTCTCTTGCTCGCTCTCTCTCATTCCCTCTCTCGCTCGCTCTCTCTCATTCCCTCTCTCGTTCGCTCTCTCTCATTCCCTCTCTCGCTAGCTCTCTCTCATTCCCTCTCTCGCTCGCTCTCTCTCATTCCCTCTCTCGTTCGCTCTCTCTCATTCCCTCTCTCGCTTGCTCTCTCTCATTCCCTCTCTCGTTCGCTCTCTCTCATTCCCAATCTCGCTCACTCTCTCTCATTCCCTCTCTCGCTCTCTCTCTCTCTCATTCCCTCTCTCGCTTGCTCTCTCTCATTCCCTCTCTCGTTCGCTCTCTCTCATTCCCTCTCTCGCTCGCTCTCTCGCTCGCTCGCTCTCTTTCCCTCTCTCGCTCGCTCTCTCTCATTCCCTCTCTCGTTCGCTCTCCTCATTCCCATCTCGCTCACTCTCTCTCATTCCCTCTCTCGCTCTCTCTCTCTCTCATTCCCAATCTCGCTCACTCTCTCTCATTCCCTCTCTCGCTCGCTCTCTCTCATTCCCTCTCTCATTCCCTCTCTCGCTCGCTCTCTCTCATTCCCTCTCTCGTTCGCTCTCTATCATTCCCTTTCTCGCTCGCTCTCTCTCATTCCCTCTCTCGCTCGCTCTCTCTCATTCCCTCTCTCGCTCTCTCTCTCTCATTCCCTCTCTCGCTCGCTCTCTCTCATTCCCTCTCTCGCTCGCTCTCTCTCAATCCCTCTCTCACTCGCTCTCTCTCTCATTCCTTCTCTCGCTCACTCTCTTTCATTCCCCTTCTCGCTCGCTCTCTCTCATTCCCTCTCTCGCTCGCTCTCTTTCATTCCCTCTCTCGCTCGCTCTCTCTCATTCCCTCTCTCGCTCGCTCTCTCTCATTCCCTCTCTCGCTCTCTCTCTTTCTCATTCCCAATCTCGCTCACTCTCTCATTCCCTCTCTCGCTCGCTCGCTCTCTCATTCCCTCTCGCTTGCTCATTCCCTCTCTCGCTGCTCTCTCTCATTCCCTCTCTCGTTCGCTCTCTCTCATTCCCTCTCTCGTTCACTCTCTCTCATTCCCTCTCTCGCTCGCTCTCTCTCATTCCCTCTCGCTCGCTCTCTCTCATTCCCTCTCTCGCTCGCTCTCTCTCGTTCGCTCTCTCTCGCTCTCTCTCTCTCATTCCCTCTCGCTCGTTCTCTCTCATTCCCTCTCTTGCTCACTCTCATTCCCTCTCTCGTTCGCTCTCTCTCTCATTCCCCCTCCAGCTCGCTCGCTCTCATTCCCTCTCGCTCGCTCTCTCTCATTCCCTCTCTCGTTCGCTCTCTCTCATTCCCTCTCTCGTTCGCTCTCTATCATTCCCTCTCTCGTTCGCTCTCTATCATTCCCTCTCTCGTTTGCTCTCTCTCATTCCCTCTCTCGCTCGCTCTCTCTCATTCCCTCTATCGTTCACTTATTCTCATTCCCCCCCCCAAAAAAAAAAATCATAAGGTTTGCTGCATTCTGTGGTATTTTTATTGAAATCGTTACTTATTAATTGTAAGTATGTTTTAGCAGAAGGCAAGAAAGCAACAGATTTACCTTTTTTCGACTACCGTATAAAGAACGATGATATTAATCTTTCAAAAGTAAAATATGTTGAATTGATCATAAGTATTTCTGGTGGTTGTAACTGCTTGGCTCTGAAATACTGTATTTTTGAATGGTTCATCGCCGTTCCGTTGAACAAAAAAGCTTCCTCTGGTTTAAGAAAGGAATATTTAGAGAAAGGAACACCAATGAAGAACACTGTGATCTGGTGCTTTTGGGAATGGGAGTCTTGTCTTGTTGGCGTAAAGTAATTAAGTCCATGTGTGTTATCAAGGTAGCCTTGAGTTTGCGAAGCAGGATGATACGCTGCCCAAAAAACACCGTCATGATGGCTCTGTTCAGATGTATAAGGAAGTCCTGCACAGGAACCAATCAGGTTCCAACTGCTGATATCCTCTTTGTATTCCATTGCAAAGAACATCACGTAGTGAGTATTAACCTTCCCACTAAGCGGAGGAAAACCAGGCCCACACGGGTTGGTTTTGCCTAAGACTCGAGCATTTTTTATTTTTTGTGAGAATTTGCGTTCGAAACCTGGATTTGATATTTCATTTGTGTTGAACAAGACAACGCCCGATGCTGTAAGGAAAGGCCTTCGCCAGGCGTCATACTCATGTTGCAGGGGATTCGTGTTGGTGCCTAGACCGAAATGTCGGATGCGGCTAATTTCTGGGTAAATGCATTCCCTATTCCTCCTCGCGTATTCATATAACCAGTAATCGTACGTCAGAATATCCTCATTTTCGCCAGACTCGGGCCACATGTGTAATGATTCGTTTATGAAGTTTGTCGTGACCGCATATCCCCACATGACTTGAGTTTCGCCCCTTCTAACAAGGCTCGCACTACGACCATTGTCTGTGGTTAGCAGGAAGGAGTAGGTGTTGATGCAGTAGAGTGTGGGGTCCTCGCGGAGCAGCCACAGAGTCTGGCTCATGTAGGAGAAGAAGTCTGGGGAGACCTCGACGTCCTCGTCCAGGAAAATGACTGCAGGGGCGTCGGGAAAGGTGCGAGCCACCAGTTGGAAGACGCTACGGTAGTAACGGAAGAGCTTGAGGTTGCCTTCCCCGTGAACAGGAACTTTGGTGAAGTTGACGTTGATGAGACGTAGCAGTTGCGTGGTAGGCTGTGGTGCGTCCCCAAGCACGACGAGGACGTTGTTACGTTGTGCCCCTGGGGCAGTGAGGAGGGCATTGAGGGTGTGGTAGAGGTACTGGTGCCGGGCCCCGGCTGTGACCACGACGGGCACATGGGCGAGGGCGGATTGGCGCGGGAGGGTAGGCGGCGGGGGCGGCGGCAGCGGGTCCGGAGTGTGCTCGTCGCAAAGTCCGCCCATGGCAGCGTGCAGGTGGCAGTAGTGCCAGCGTTCTTTGTCTGTGACGGTTTT